GGGGGAGAGAAGAAGAGGTAGGGAGGGGTTGGTTTGTTCAAAATCTGACTTTCGACATGTTAAACTTGATTTACACACTCCAAAATACATTTCCTGAGATTCTCTTGAAACCATATCCTTTAGCTGTACCTTTTTCACAAATTCAGAACCATGTCTCCATATGCAAATAGTAATTTTTAAAATCATAGATTGTTTGCTTTATCATCCAAAAGGAATGCTTTCTCTGAGAAGCAGCTGAAGACAAAATTCCATTATGTATATTGTTTAATCTTTGCCCTCCTCTTCATTTAAAGATCAGCATTGTGGAGCTTGAGAAAAGTCAAAGGCAGCAGGAGCTCATGCAGCTGAAATCCTATACGCCGTCCGATGAGTCCTTGTCGATACAACTACGCAATAAAAATCATCTAAGTCGTGAACCTGAGGTTGATCATGGCAGGTTCCAACTTGAGCTTGAGTGTTCTAAATTTCCTATGACCCATATCAATGGCATGAGTCCCGAACTGTCCATGAATGGCCATGCTACTCCCTATGAAATCCATAATGCTCTTAGCCGGCCCTCTTCCAAGCAAAACACCCCTCAGTATATGACCTCTCACCTGGACCAAGAAATAGTTCCATGTACCCCAAACCATAGCAGTAGACAGAAGGCAGACAAGACATCCAGCTTGTCCTTACCTGATTATACCAGATTTTCTCCTGCTAAGATAGCCCTAAGGAGGCACTTGAATCAGGACCATGCAGTCAATGGAAAAGCAACAACTAATGAAATCCAGAGGTGAGAGGGGTCAGTTGGGGAAATGGGTATGATATTTGTCTCTTTATTGCTGTCAGTATATATGACTATAGAAGAAAATAGTTAAAAAGTAGAATTGATGTATGTAGTTCCAGTCTTCGTGGCTCAGGCATTTGAGCAAAAGCCAATAAATGTAGCAGTGGCAGATGATCAGGTAAGCAAGGCGATGATGTCAAGTTTGCAACAAGAATTTGTTGCAGTTGGAGATCACTAGAATTCAAAAACTGACTGCATGTATCTTGTTTTAGAGCTGACCATGTAAAAGAGAATGGCCTTACATATCCAAGCCCTAATATTTCAAATGGCATGAAGCTGAGTCCTCAGGAAACTCGGCCCTCTTCCCCAGCGGCCTTACCAATTGCAGGCGAGAAGGTAAGGAGTATGCCTGTCTGTGCAGAGCTCAGGTCAATAGAAATCATGCTCCTGACAGAATTGGGG